CAAAAAGCACATTTTGCTTCTGTAGTCAGCCATGAATAATTACATCTCTCATGCTCCTGTTGCCCTCCTTGCCTGCTGTCCTGACAGCTGCAGAACTTACGTCACCCCCGCTTCTGCCTGGACGACTCCAGAGCTTTAAACTTTCTGCTCTTTTCCCAATAAATTGCATGGAGAAGGAACGTGTCGTTGCTTTGGGTTTTCATGCTTGGAAAGAATACAGAAATGCATGATTCCTAAGTCAGACAAGATCCAACTGCTGATTAGAAGCCTTAATATTTAAGCAGAGGTGGCAGGGCTGCCCGGAGAGTGTCACGCAGCTCCAGTCTTTAATTGGTGGAAATTGTGGAAATCTTTCAAAGTCACATTTATTCTGATTTGCCCCAAGTTTGGCTCTCGATCAGTGCTATTGGATGGATGTTTCAAGATTCATAGAGGAGGCTTCTCAGCCTCTTTGCATTTTTTACAGCATGCCTGCCACCGAGGGGTGATGACAAACCCTCTTCAAAATCTGCTGCAGGAGGGTCATTATAGGGCAAAAACTCAGGAACGTGTTTGGTTACTTTTTCCAGCAGAATTTCAGAAACTCTATGACTACCAGTTTAGGATTTGAAAACAGATCAAAGGGAGGCATTTCATTGTACGTTTGAGCAGATTAAAAAAAGAAGCCAACATATTAATAAATCCACCACAAAGGACTGAAGTGTTTTGTGATTTAACTGATGAAAGCCAATTAGCAGAACAAAGAACTGAACCTTACAGAGGCAAGCTGGGCAGACACATGTTTCACAAAATCCAGAGGGAAGGCCTTTCCTACCCAAAGTGAGAATCATGATTCAGAACTGAAAGAACCTTCTTCCGCCCCGTAATTGTCATGCGATGGGAAGATATTTCCCAGTCAAAGACAAGGAGCACAAAAGAGAACGGGCACAATCTTTAATGAAGAAAACCACAGGGAAGGTTGGACAAGAAAAGAACAATCGAGCCGCTATAACTATTCATGAAGACAGGTTTAGAAAGTCTACGGCATCCCATCGCAAACTGTCACTTTTTATGTAAGAGAAAGGCAACGATATGAACTTACAGTTGTTTTCTCAGCTCCAGACTCCCCACCTTGCAGCATTTCAAGATTTGATCAGTTAATTTAGCAAGTGCTTTGCATTAAGCCAACCTCTCTGAAGACCAGCACCTCATGGTTTACTCAGAAATTGGGTGCAACATCGCCGAGCTGCACGGATCACCCCAAACGTGGGCACCAGGGCTTCAGCACAACAAAAGGAAGAGCTTATCTCCCTGGATGAGCTTCGCGGGAGGATGTGACCCACCTTCTATGGGCAATTCCTTCCTTCTGCGTGGCCAGAGGACTTTTACCTCCAAGAAAACAGCTCCAAGTGGAAGGAGTAAGAGCTCTAGATTTATAGGGAAGCCACTGTAACCTAATAACAGCTGCATTTCTTTTTTTCTTTCATAATCTTTTTGCTTTAGCTTGATGCCATCCCATTTAGGGGCCCAGATTCCCATACATCCCACATTCCTTTCCACCACATAATTCTGTGGGAGGAAGACAGCAGCACGAAGAAGATCAAAACCCGTGCTTCGCGGCGAGCCTTGGCTCTACAGGCACTGGTCTCTGTGCAGCAAGGGAGGTGGGATGGATCCACCAGGAACTGAGGAGATCTGGAGAGCGTGTGATGTTGGGTGCTCTCATTAAGGCTTCAAAGGCCACAAAGAAATTCGGCGCCCAAAGGGTGGGACTAATTTCACCTAACTTTAACCATCCAGAAGTGGGGCGCCTGGTCTAGTTGTCTGGTTGTCTAGACTGCCTCTGGTAGTCAAGAAGAATGGAGGTGAGCACCTCCAGAGGTGAGTTCCTCCCACCTGTCTTCACTGCCTATTTTAGGGTGCGATGAATCACCGTCTGGAGATGCCTATCTCTTTCCATTAGCCAGCAAGGGAGCCTCAAATATGAAATTAGAATACATGGCTAGCTTGATGGCTGAAGAAGGGAGGAAGGTGCACCCAGGCCCAGTGTTTGATGAATTTTATGAGGAACATCCTTTGTAAAGCCCAGCCTTGACTTCTAACATAGAGAAGACATAGGATAATGAGGGGAAAAAATACATTACTGGACTGAAGTCCCCTGGACAACTTTGGCTTTAGGATACAAGGGAACGAGTTTGTGCTAATCCAATTGATACCTGAACATCTCATGAATGACTCGGTCTATACGGTCCAAGAAGTTATGTGTGTAAAAACACCTGTTGCAACCCAATCTTACATCTCAAACGGTGTAGGCACATGTAGGTTATTGCCATTGTCCTGTCTGAATGCAGTGAGTTTTCTATGGGTCTGGATAATTACAGAGATGGAGCGCAGCTCTTTGAGACTATCGCATAAGACGTATTTTAAGAGCTCGTTCCAATTCATCTCCAGAGGCAACGAACAAATTAGTGAACTTCACATGCTCTTATAATGAATTCCATTTTCTGCAGCGCATTCAGGGAGAAGAGTGCTGACAAAGGGAGAGATTGCAAGATGTCAGGATGACTCATCCAACCCCTCATCAAAATATTTTCCTTTTTTTTCCTTCCTTGGTCCTTCCCCTCCTTTCTTTTTTTTTCTCCTGAGTCAAAAAGATGAAATTTTTTTCCTTCAGAGTCCTCTGCCGTTCCCCATGTCTGTACTCACAACAACAAACCTTTGATTCTTAAGGTCTTATGCACTGACAGCTCGTCATTCATTGGGTAGGCCTAAAAGACCTTAAGTGACCCTCCCTCACAGCTGCCTTCCCAAGGGAATTTGTGAGCAACCCCAGGGATTTGGCTAATGCAGGAATTCGACCCAATACTGGGCAACTTATGCTTAAAAATCTCTTACCTACCAGGCAGCCCATGGCTCTGGTGATGTGTTTTGGGGCTGCAGCAGCAGAGTTGGTTCACAGACATTTAATTGCAGGCTGTGCCACATTCCAGGCATCTCCCACCCCACCGGCGCCTGCCACGGGGTGCAGGAAGGAGCCTCCAGCCTGGCTGCAGGTCTAAGATACAGTTTTTCTATACAGAGCTTGTGGCAATTGCCCTTTGTACTCTTCTTCAGATTCAAATACGCGTTTTGCTTCTAATAAATCTTTGTTTAGATCTGGGGAAAAGTTACGTGCTTTAGCTTGAAGACTCTAATATTTGTTTCGACTGATTTCACCAGTTGTGCTGGCAACCCAGTATGAACTGTGAGGCTAAAATACTACAGACAAAGGTGTCATCTGAAAGTCATGCTCTGAATATGTTGAATTATCCCATCTGTAAAGGGCAAAATATCAGTTTACAAACCTAATTTATACCACTGGCCCCTCGCATTCACGTAATTTGCAATTACATGTTCAATTAATAGCCTTGTGCAGCTCGGTGCTGCAGTCACGTCCCATGATTTTGGTGTGCCTGTCTTCTCTGTAAGAACTTGATATTAGTTGGTTTGATGTTTTAAGGGAGGTTTAACATTTTTATGGTGTGCCACCACCTGATCTCAACTCTTGGAAAATGTTTTTGGAGGGTGTTAATGAGGACGAGGGAACACGGCTACCGAGAGTTTCCAGATACCGTGCCGTTGTACGTACAACACGCAGTCTTCTCCAAGCGTCGTCATTCTCCTTTGGTCAGGAAGGGCTGAGGGCATTTAGTTGTTTGCACTATAATGCTTCTTTTTCTCCCAACCACTTCACTCTCAAAGAGCTGGAAGAGCCCTATTGTTTTGACTTCCCAGCCTGGAGAAGGCCCCGAGATGGTTGGCAGATAGGCTTCCTGTCTCACCACCTTGGGCTGGTGATTAGGGGAGAGAGAGGACTCATCTTGCCAACGTGAGTCAAAGCCATCTCTGGTGTCCAGTCTCATCCACTCATTAAGACTTCCTCTCAATGGAGAAAGATCAATGCCTGCGGAGAATGAATCACCCCCGTTCCCCCAAGCACGGACCCAGGGGCTGTTTCTCTTGGAGATGTGTCTCCATGGAGTGTCAAGGACGTGACGGGTAAACTCACCCAACTTTTAGCTGTCGCTTCCTGAATGAGGTGGATCTCGCCGGGCTGAAATGTGCTACTGCTCCTTTTTTTTGTTCCCTCTAGAGACTACCAGAAGGTGAATGAATCAAAAAGGTATCTGACACCCTGCTTGGCAGAAGCTCCAATATAGCTAGGGCCAAAGGTTTAACTGTGTCAAAGGGACTTCACGTTAAGATCGGCAGCATTATTCAAGTGAAAATACCACTGACTGCCCAGAATACGACTCTGGTGAACAAACTGGAACATGCGGCAGCTCCCGGAAGCAGCCTGCTCTGTTTTGGTGGTGTTTCATCGTGGTAAGAGAAGATCAGTGTGAAATGCTCCATGGGAATGGGTTTTTTTTTTGGAGGGGGGGCATTTTGAGTCCTTGCATATTAATCCAGATCCACAGCTCAGTGAATCTGCTGGTGTTTCAGGTACAGAAGTGACCCATCCATCACAATGCAAAACACGGTGTTTTTTCCGTGGTTAATTTTTTTGGGGGGGGTTACTTTTCCGCACCCAAAGATTGTGAAATTACCCCCACAAAGTGCAAGTCTGCAAAACACGCCATCGTACACAAAAACCCCATGAGACACAAAACCCCAAACGACACGCTGCAAACAAATCACAAAGGCTTTCTTCAAAAATGTTTGCTAAACTATAATTAGCGTAAGTTAGGGGAACACTTCAAACTGTAATATATTCTAAGCCAACTTGCAAACAGAGCACTTTTAGATTCCTTTTTATTTCCTCAGTAGTTAGTATTTGCTGGGTTGTTTTGCATTTTGAGGAGCATTTATTGCTGCCAGGCAAACCAAACCCTTAAGCGCTTTAAATTAACGTCCTGATCCTATCAAGGCCAGCTTCCCAAATATATATAAGGGTAGCGTCACCATG